GAATGTACACGGTGATCATGTCGGCAAGGGTTTCATAAAATCTCTCGGTAAGACCGTTTTTTTGAGGATGGTAGCTAGACGCCGTGTTGTGTGTAGTACTAGAAACGCGATGAACTTCACCTACAAGCTGTGATTAGAACACCTTTACACGATCACTTAAAAATACACAAAGAGCAGCACCATGACGTAGAATTGTGGCCTGAAGGACGAAGTCAGCAACTTCCAATGCTGAACCAGTAACTACTGAAGTTGTCTCGGCGTAGCGCGCCTGATGGTCTACGCCGGTGACTATCCATCTATTTCCGGCGCCAGTAGCAGGAAGGGACCTATAAAGATCAACACCCAAGACCTCGAATAGTGTTGTAGGGCACGTCATTGGCTGTAACTGACCGGCAGGAGGCAATGTCAAAAGTTTGCGAAGTTTGCACAGAGGACGAGAACCCACGTACTTAGCCACACTTGTAGAAAGCCCAGGCTAATAAAATTGGCTTCGAATGCGTTCGTAGATTTTGTGAAAGCCGAAAAGGCCAGCAGTCAAATTGTCATATAAGACGTTAACTACATGATGTCGAAGAGCACCTGGCAGAACAGGTAGCCAGCGTTTACCCCGTACCTCCACCATGTATAACGCCTCGATTGTAACGAGGTTTATTGGCCGTGAACTCAAGTACGAACAAGCGCAACGTACCCGAAGGTGAAGCACACGTTCAAAGACGATGATGAATGTCAGCCAGAACAGGCGATAATGATAGACTGCTGTCCAGATGAGGATGAAGCGCATAATAGTTCCCTACACTATATATATATATATATATATATATATATATATATATATATATATATATATATATATATGCAAGACAAATAATTAAAAAGTAATGCTATGCAGTCTCACGTTGCTCTACACAAACCTCGACTTTGTTATGTAATCGGAGCATTTAACAGGCATGTTTAAGGTGACCGAACTTCATGAGCACATACCCTTTGCGCAAAATGCAGCAGATGATGCATGCTGTCATTCTACACAGCTGTGACATTGCTGTTTTAGTTTATTAAATTATCAAGTATAGACCTCGTTTTTATAATCAATTCAGTTGAAAATTCGGGCTTCTCTGTATGTGTTTTGTGCGTTGTCTAAAAACTCTTTGCGCACGAAACAGTTGAGCATGCCCAACTAGCTCGAACCCACATCTTGTTATGCGGCCGGACTGTCATCAAGAAGAATGAGGAGTGGTGTATACATATAGCCTCATGAAAATTGATAAATTTCACATTACTATCAATGCTGTGGTGGATATACCGCATTGTAAAACAGTTCAGAGTTCACAACCATTCGTCGCCGTAACCGCTATAAAATCATCGTAGAAAAAGTTGAGCAACGACGTTACATTCACAATGATGGTATCAAAAGCGATGCATCTGCTTGTATGTATTGTGAGAATATAAGTCTTGGCTAGAACGGAACGTCGATCAGGTGCTTCAGCTGTCGTTTTTTCCAAAAGTATCCAGATAAAAGCGCTTTAACTTTAACAGGTATAGTCAGACTGCATGCTGCGTCCCTGTGCTATTATTCAATACTGAAAGGGGCCATGTAGCTGACGTGGGGCCGCAATTACGAACGGTGCCAGCGCCCTCTATCACAGCCACGCACTCGCCCGCTCCAGACAATTATGACTCCGACTGTGCGTTTTACACAAAACAAAGAGTTAAAAAAACTGAAATTATGGGAAAAGGATTGTGCTAATAAAATATTGAGATAGGTGTTTACAAGTGTATATTATTTTCAAACAGCTTTCTTCATGAAGTCCCGATTTCATACGGCTGTAGCTAAGCACACCTAAAGTTGAATAAATAGTGCTACAATAATACAGAGACTACAGTACTCTCGCCAGACTTCGTTTACTCCATGGCAGAGCTGTCGAGAGTCAGTTGAGAAACCTAATCTTTCCTCAAACGCAAAGTAACAGACCGCGAACGTCTTGCTTTTCAGGCAGAGTTACCAATCTGTGGAACTTACACATCATTGTAGTGCGAACATTATCCGCAACCTCCCCTAAAGCAGACTCAATATAATCTATGGTGTGCTTCCGGCCAACACCGAACCGAGACATATAACTGCCTCTTAAAGATGATCCCGTGAGCGTAAATGACACAGATGTCACTGCATAGTAATAGTATAGCTCTCAGTGATAACAAATAAGTTTGGTATATCGTAAATATTTGACTTCGGAGACGCCAAAAAAGTCAGGTTTGAAGCCTAGAACACTGGCAACTTCTATTGCATCGCCGAAGGTTTGTTTACCACTCAATCTATTTACCACTGGAAGTTATCCTCGTGATACCCTGACTGCGCCCACTGCAGGTTAAAGGCCTCTCCCAGGATCTGAGAATCAACCAGGTTTTGTGCTTTCTGCTCCAACTTCATACCTGCAAATTATCTTAAATTTCCTCAGTCCACCAAACTTTCTCTCTCTTTCCCCTGAAGCGTTTGGAATCTCTGGAAATTCAGTCAATTACCTTTAACACCCCACAGTTAACCTGTCTACCTACTACATACCCGGCCCATGTCCATTTCTTCTTGAATTCAACTATCATATCGTTAACCCCGGCTAGTTCTTTGATCCACCCTGCTCTCTTCTTGTCTCTCAAGGTTACACTATTATTTCCTTACTATCGCTCGCTGCGTCATCCTCAGTTTAGGCTGAACCCTCTTTCTGAGCATTCAGGCTTTTGCTCCGTAGGTAAGTACCATTCATATGCAGCTGTTATTTGTCTATCTCTTGAGACAGTGACAATCTACCAGTCATGATTTGAGAATGCTTGCCAATTGAGATCCATCCCTGTCTTGTTCGTCTACTTATTTCCGTCTCATTGTTCAGCTCCGTGGATACTACCTGTCCTAGGTAGACATATTCCTTCACAACTTCCAGTGTCTATCCACTTATCGAAAGGAGCTGTTTTCTGCCGAAAGGGTTGCACATTACTTGAGTTTTTTGCAGATTAATTTCCAGACCTACCTTTCTGCATTTCTTGTCCAGTTCTGTACTCATGAGCTGTATTTCGTCCTCTGAGTTACTCACCAAGACAATGTCAACAACCAACCGCCGATTACCAACACACCCTTCATTACCTTTTATCCTTAACTCTTTCCAGTCTAATGTCCTGAAAACCTTTCGTAAACACGCGGTGACTAGCATTGGAGAGATCGTGGTTCCCTGCCTTACAGCCTTCTATTATAGGAATGCTCTCGCTTTCTTTATGGAGGACTATGGTGACTGTGAATCCATGTTAGATTTCTTTCAATATGATAATTTAAGGTTCTTCAAAGCCCTAATTTAGTAGTGTCTACATTACTTCCGATGTCTCGACTGATTCAAACGAGTTCTCTTATTCTATGAAGTCTATGCATAGGGGTTGGTTGTATTCTGCGCATTTTTCTATTACAAGATTGATAGTAAGAATATGGTTTATTGTAAAGTAGGTTGTACGAAATCTTGCTCGGTACTTTGGTTCATTGAACTGTAATGTCGCCGTCACTTAGTTAGGTATTACTTTTGTAAATAGCTTGTAGAAAATGGACAGTGCGCCAATTGGCCTGTAGCTTTTCAAGTCCTTGACGTCTCCTTTATTACGCACTAATATGATGACGCTTTCGGAAAATCTGGTTTCGTTCACGCCAATAGACACTTCATATATAAGGTGGCCAGCATTTCTAACAGAATTCCTCGGCCATCTTCCAGCAGTTCTTTGTTACGTTATCCTCACCAGTGGCTTTGCCTGTTTGCGTTCTTTCTAGAGCTTTCATCACTTCCCTCGTCGTTACAGGTAGGATCTGGAATCACATCGGACCAATACTGCATCTTACGCTATCAACCTGCTTGTTTTGCCTTCTGCGCAGCTCTCTATAGAATTTCCCTGCCACCTCAACATTTCTATCCATATTGCTTGTGACTTCGCCATCCTTGCCTTCTAAAGCATACATTCGACTTCTGCCTAGGCACGAGCATTCCTTCACATCTTCCAAGTTTTTTTTATTTTTACGGCATGTTCAATTCTCTACATGTTATACCTTCTAATGTCGGCTACCTTACGCCTATTGATTATTTAGAAAGCTCTGCTAGCCCTATTTTGTCTTTTGAATTTGAGGTTTTTATGAATTGTCGTTTCTTATTGAGATATCTTGTCTCGTGTAATAATTTACCAGCGTCCTGTCTATGAACTGTACATCAAACTTTCATTGTAGATTCTGATTATACTTTTCAGATAATCGCTCGTTCTGTCCACGCTAACGACAATTAAATCGCTGGGATCCGCGAATCTATTCTGTAGCGAAACTCGGAATTCCTGTAATTTCTCAAATCAAGCTAAGTATCGGGTTCTTGCTTATCAGTTTATGCCTGTGCTTTTTAGATCAAATTGAATTCCAGCTCATATTGTTACGGAGATGAAGTAAATGAAGACGAAGGGCAGAGGGAGCTGACAGGTGCGTGAGTGTGCCAATCAGTCATTGTGATTCTTGTCTGTGGGTTTCCTATGTAAGTGCATCTTGTACAGAAGTCACCAACCCCGTAAAATATTGGTGAAGGTGCCGGGTAAACATCAGGCAACGGAGCTCCGCTGCGGACGTCGCATCGCTTTTCCACTCATGGCCAATGCTGAGCCCTCCACGTCAGTGTCGGCGTCTCCAATGAACACGGCGTCGCAACCATACACTATTACGCCACTTAAGGATCCCGGTAGATTCTGCGGGACCGATGGCGTCGACGTTGCCGATTGGTTCAATGTTCGAACGAGTGAGTGTGCCGAACAGATGGGGTTCTAGACTTCAGTTGGATAATGTGCTGTTTTACTTGAGAGGCACGGTAAATGTGTGGTATGAAACCAACGAAGAACTCACAAGCTGGGACCAACGCAAAGAAAAGATGCGAGATGTGTTTGGCAAAGCCGTCAGTCGTGAGCTCGCCGCCAAAAAGGAATTCGCTTCCTGAGCTAAATGCCCCATGGAACCACACCTCGCATACATAGAAGACATGCTGGCCCTCTGCAGCCACATGGCAGAAGGTGACAAGGTCGGGCATGTCCTGAAAGGAATTGCGACGACGCGTTCAATCTCCTGATGTGCAAGGGGTATTCCACCGTGAACGCGATCATCAAAGAGTGTCATCAGTTCGAACTAGTGAAAAGTCGCCGCTTACTGCAAACATTCGCCCGACTTCCAAACTCCGCTGCAATATCGACTTGCGAAGACCGGTCCGGACAACAACGTCTATCGCCTCCCGGAAACCTGACACGCCTTCTTCGTCGCAAACTGGAAGGAATGGCGCCCTCAGCGTTCTATTCGAGCAGCACCGATGCCACTCCTGTTACTATTTCCCTGGTTCAAGCCATCGTGCGCCAAGAGCTTGAAAGCATCGGAGTGCATTCCGTGTGCCATGTCACCGCGCCCAGAGTCAGCGAACGCCCTTTGGCGACGTCCTGCTCCGACCAACGGTTTTCTTCACGTACTCGCAACCCGGCTGAGTGGCGAACTGCAGATAGATGACTGCCCTATATGTTTCAACTGCCACCGCGTTGGACATGTTGCTCGTTACTGCCGCAACATATGGTCCTCGGCACCTCGTGCAAAGACCAATACCACGTGTTTTGACGGTAACGCCCACCCTTTTCCAGCTGCCCATGAGTTCAATACCGTTGACCATTCTAAGAACACTTGGTACAGCCGCTCGCCTTCACCACATGGACGCGAGTCTCCTTCGCCGCGAACACGTCAACCATCGTCCAGTTTTCCGCGGTTACGGCGCTTGTCACCCCCCGTGGCTTCCGGCCACGCCGTGTCAGAAAACTGAGACATACAGCCCCCGGAGGTGGTGCTGTATTGGCGACTTCCGCAGCAAATGCTCTCTCCTTTCCCACCAGACGCAGTGTAATAGACGTTTAAGTGGACGGCATACCTGTGCAAGCACTTGTCAACACCGGCGCAAGCATTTCGGTCTTAAGTTAAAGCCTACGCACACGTTTAAAGAAAATTGTGACACCAGCGGCTGCACAAATGCTCTGTGTGGCCGATGGTGGCCCGCCGATGGTTCTCGGTCTATGCACTGCCCGCCTAAATATAAATGACCCCACTACTTCTGTGACTTTAGCTGTAATTGACCACTGCCCTTATGACGTCATCTTAGGCCTCGACGTCTTGTCAAATAATTCTGCTCTTATCGATTGCGCTACCAGCGACCTTCAGCTAGAGATGCCTCAGATAGTCGCCGACGCTCATACTACTCGACTGCGCCTGTGCTCTCTTGGGGATGCGGTGCTGTCACCTTATGCAGCCCACTACGTCGTTTTTACCACACAGCCGCAGGTTCCCGATGGCTACTAAGTCCTGCTTCTTGTCGCCGATGATCTTTTGAGCCACAACATTCTTATTCCCCATACGCTCATGACCGTGACTGAAAACTGTACCTCACTTCCTCTTCTCAATATCACCTTGCGCCCTTAAGTGTATCCTCGTGGCATGTTTTCGGCTAATTTATCTAATGCTGACGAATTCGAAACAGCGGCTCTCACCAGCGAGATTAATTTACTTCAGTCTCCTGTTGCTAACAACACGTGTCCTCCACCGGATCGTTTCTCGAAGATGATTGAACCCGACCTCAACCCTGCGCAAGCCAACGACATCTGTCCACTTTTCGCGTCATATACCGACATTTTTTATATCGACAAAAGACCTCTAGGACACACATCCGCCGTTCAGCACCGTATAAACAGTGGAGACGCCGGTCCTATTCGCCGACCTCCCTATCCTGTCTCCCACACTGAGCGCACAGTTATCCAAACGGAAGTTGGCAAAATGTTCAACAAAGTTTCGTAGAACCATCAAATAGTCCTTGCGTTTCCCCTGTCGTCCTTGTGAAGAAAAATGACAATAGCTGGCGCTTCGGCGGTGAATATCGCCACCTCAACAAGATCACGCGAAAATATATATACATTGCTACCGCGCATCAATGCTGCGTTGGACTGCCTGCTTGGCGGTACATACTTTTCGTCTATTGATCTTCGGTCCAGGTCCTAGCATATTTCTGTCGATGAAATGAACCGTGAGAGGACGGCCTTCATTACACCAGATTGTTTATACCAGTTTAAGGTCATGCCTTTTAGACTATCTAACGCCCCTGCGACATTTTAACGGATGATGGACTCTATCCTGCGTGGTTATCAGTGGTCTACTTGTCTCTGTTACCTAGACGATGTGATAGTCTTTTCAGCTACTTTCGATAGCCACCTGATCTCTCTCACTACGATTCTCGCAGTCTCCAGAACAGCTGAGCGACAACTAATTTCCAAGAAATGTCAATTTGGCCGCCGTGAAATTGCTGTTTGGGGCCATCGTGGAAACGCTGATGGCGTCGAACCAGATCACGAAAAGATTCGCGCCGTCCGCAGCTTTCCGGTGCCCCGTTCTACATCTTACGTCCGGAGCTTCATCGGCCTATGCTCGTACTTTTGATGTTTTGTGAAAAATGCCGCCGACGGTGCCAGGCCACTCACAGATTTGCTGTAGAAAGATACCACATTCTCATGCGGCCCTGAGAAGCTTCAAGCATTCAACACTCTCATCGGCTACCTAACTACGCCCCCCAAACTCGCTCACTTTAATACTTCCGCAGCCACAGAAGTTCGCGCCAACGCCAGTGGCCAGGGTATCGGCGCATATCTCACTCAGCGGCACCACGGTAGACAGTGCGTGATAGCTTACGCCAGTCACCTGCTTTTTCTCCCTGAGAAGAATTATTCCATCACCGATTGAGATCGTTTAGCTTTAGTTTGGTCCGTCGCCAAGTTCCGGCCACATTTATATGGTCGCATATCCTCCGTCGTTACGGACCCCTACGCCATCTGCTAGCTCACTTTTATGAAGGACCCGACTGGACGTCGGGGTCTCTGGGTCTGAGGCTCCAGGAACTTTTGTTTAGCGTTAGCTACAAGTCAGGCCATTTGCACAAAGACGCAGACTGTCTTCTCATCATCCGTTGGATCTTCCTAATCTTGTTGTGCCTTACTTGGAGAGCAGCGTAATGGCGTTTCCTGACATATGCGATATGCGCATCGAACAACGACAGGATGAGTCAGTGCGCACTATCATCGACGCCACCCAGTCTGACAGTCGTAACGGTGAATTTTGTATGTTCGTGCTGCATGACGGCATTCTCTACCGCCGCAATGTCAGCACTGAAGACCCTGAGCTTCTACTTGTCATTCCTCATCATCTACGGTCTGCCATACTTGAACAACTTCAATACGCATCAACGGCGGTACACCATGGCGTTTCCAGCACATACGACTGCTTGTGGTGTCGTTTAATACGGCCTGGACTGTAGCGCAGCGTGCGTCAATGTGTCGCCACTTGCGACCTCTACCAGCAGCGGAAAAGACCTTCTTTGCTGCCAGCTAGATATCTTCAGTCGATTGAAGTCCCCTCTGAACCGTTTCATCGCGTGAGACTCGACCTTCTTACGACGACACTTGGAAATAAATGGATCACCGTCACCACAGGTTATGGGACCCGTTACGCGATAACAAAGGCCATGCCAACCAGTTGGGCCACTGACGTCGCGGAATTTCTTCTTCATGACGTCATCTTACACCACGGTGCACCCTGACAGCTACTTACGTACTGTGGCCATTCTTTCTTGTCCAGAGTTGCGGGCGACCTTCTTTGATTGTGTTCCACTGCGCACAAGATATTTACCACCTACTACCCACAAACTAATGGCTCAACTGAGCGTCTCAACCGCACTCTCACAAAGATGCTTTCGATGTACATCTCCAAATCATCATTGAGGCTGGTACACCACGTTGGCTTATGTGACTTTCGCATAAAATTCCTCTCGACATGACAACACGGGATTTTCACCTTTTTATCTTTTGTATGCTCACGACCCCATATTGCCATTTGGAACCACCTGCCTCTCGTGCCATCTGCTTTCGTGTACGCCCACGAAGCCATTGATCGGGCTCACATCTCTCGTCAAGTTGCCCAGTCTCGTCTCACCAGGTCACAGGATATGCAGAAATTCCGCTACGGCCACCGGCATCGTAATATAACGTTTGCCCCAGGTGACCGCTTGCTCCTCTGGTCACCGTATTGCCCTGTAGCTCTCTCCGAAAAACTCTTGTCCCGATACGCAGGACCGTACTTAGTCTAACGTCAAGTTGGCGACGTGAACTACGAGATAGCGCCATTGCACGCCAATGCGTCACCAAGTTCGTCACTTTTTGACATTGTCCATGTTTCGCACCGGAAACCCTACTTTTCTCGCACTCCTCCGGACTAGCGCCGAGGCGGCGCTCCGACGCCCGGGATTCCTGTTACGGAGATGAAGTAAAGGAAGACGAAGGACAGAACGAGCTGACAGGCGCGCGATTGTGCCGATCAGTCATTGTAACTAATGCCTGAGGTTTCCTTCTGCAAATGCATCTTGTACAGAAGTCAACAACTCCGTAAAATTAACATTCTATGGTACTGCATCGAGTCTGTTCAACTACTTTTACATCATGTACAATGCCGGGTGTATGCACAGAATAAATTCTATTTCATAAGTAGTTATGTTTTTTGGGGCTCGCCCACGCCTTTTGCAGTTAGCCCGTTTTCTGTTAAAGGTAATCATGATTCGTGAGAAATAACGTTCTTTGAACTCATCGTATAACTCCCCTCTGGCATTTACACAGCCAGTGCCATACTCCCCACCGCATGGCCTCTAGCCTGTTTCTTGCCTACTTTGGCATAAAGTCGCCCATATTATCGTATACAGTGTCTTTATTAATTGCTGTCTCTACGTCTTTGCAAAAGCGTTAATCCAAATTATCATCACGGCTTGATGTAGGCGTCTAGGTCTGTACTACGTTCCTCCTGTACCTTTTGTTAAACCTAATAACAAAACTTGCCAGCCTCTGACTGACGCTATAGTAGTTCTCTATGTAGCCAGCGATATTATCGTGCATAATAAACCCCACCCCTAGTTCTCTTCTTTGAGGTAATCCACGGTAGCAAAGAAGGTGTCCGGTATTCAGCACTATATAAGCCTCATGGGTCATCCTCACTTCGTTGAGCCTTTTGACATCCCATCTGGCGCCCTCTAATTTCTCGAAAAGCACAGCTACATCAGCCCCCAAAATAGTTTTCAAGCATTAAACGTAGCCAAGCTCAGATTGGTATGGCAGCTTTTCCGGACACATGATTAGCTCCCTCAAATGCGTGGCAGTTCTTAGCGTCACTTCGGACAGTTTCTTCGCATACACTGGGGACTGAAGGCCGAGGGCAAATTTGTAATTTCATTGGAGGGGAGCGTGAAGTACTGCACAAGGTTAGCCAATCCTTCTCTGGTGAGAGAGTGTTTTGCCGGTAGGTGGTTTTTACTTGGTACCCTTGTATCCATATATGGTTGAGTATACTGTTGGGAACTGTTCGGGCCCGGCATTCAAACCACGGACCCTTTGCCTGATAGGCTGATGCGCAATCTCTTAGTAGTAGGCGTGCCATCAGACTTTGTTGTGCTGTAACTGCTTACCAGTCTTAAACATCACATGACTCATAGCTAATCTGATTTTTCCTAATTGTACCAAACTCAGTCTTTCTAGGAAAAAATTATGAAAATGGCAAGAACTCCAACTGTAAATCCTGTGCACATAGTCTAGACTAGTTCTCTAGAAGACTCTCCTTCTCAAGCGTTTATTGTGCTGTAACTTCTCTCTGTATTGCTCGATTTGGATATTGTTGGCTTCAAAATATCCGCAATGTCGAAGTTACATGTTGTTACTCGCTCCTGCAATATTGTCTGTTCGATGGACGCTGCATTCGTGTGCGATGTAAATTATGGTGAGCAAGAGATGTGTGTGTATATCGTGAGGCGATAGACGAAGAGAATAATAATGCCTACTTAAGTGATGTTTCACTGCGTTCGGAGGGGTAGCAGTCCTACTTTGACATTCCCTGTCAAGCTAAATTGTTGCTCCTTTCTGTTTTGTCAACTAAACGGCTAATTCTATGTGATTGTTGCATTGAGTGTTCACGTCGCGGACGGTTTGAATGCATGAAAATAATACCGAAAAATAATTCTAACTGGTAAAGAAAGAAGTGGCACTGCCTTAACGTTGTAGAGTATTTCGCGGATGCTTCTAGTAGAAATTGAAACTCCAGAAAACTAACATGACAGTAAGCAATGGTTGCTATTGCGGATTTAGATCCACGTACTAGTAATCACATCTATGGCAAGCCTAATGACATAAAATGGTAACTTAAAGGTAAAGCTAATGGCGCAGAATATTAAATCAAAGGTAAGGTCAGATTTTCTAGTTATAGGGAGCAGCGAAAGACGAAAACAGCGCAAGAAAAAAATGGGGCGTTTGTAGAACTCACCGCTTAGCGGCGACATGGATTTTTGTACACTGACGTCTGCTTTCGGATATTGTCTTACGAACAACTCGAATATTTCCTTCAGCATAGTGGTTCAGAAAAACTATGAATGGGAGCCTTGAGCGCTAGTGCTCTATATTTGGAAGCTAGTAAGTGGGCTACTTTGTGCTTTCTAAAGGGAAACGAAAGAGTGTGGCCAGGACCTGCTTAAACGTTGGAGGGAAGGGGGAGAGTTGAGACTTCGGGGATTGTCCAGCGGCGAAACACGTACGCAAAAATATAACTTCAATACAAGCGAAAACAAAACAAAATAAATGCCTGAAAGAAAAACCTACTTGTGAGATTCTTGCCGGCAACATTCATATTCTCACCTGAGTTCTCTAACAATATGTGCCATGCTTTCACGACATAACCGCAAGAAAGGTTAGTTAGGACATGTTTACCGTCGCACACATAAGACGGACACAGTCTTCCTTTTTAATAACATTCGTGACTTCAAACACACGAACAGCTGCTGACCATAAATGGCATTGAATAAAATACATTTTCTCGCGTAACCGACAATATACTAGAAGAGAGATGAATTTCAGGTACTGATTTACGTCGCTATTGGTAGCTGCATCTACATAACTTATCGGCAAGAAGTATATCGTCAAACGCGTAAAACAAATATACCACCATGCTGGTTTAACAAGGCGTACGAGGTGACCAGTATTTGTCAGGAAATTGTCGGTAAGAGCCTTCGGTGGCTTTCAGTGGCAGCCAAAGTGCGTTTTCTGAAAGCGCATCAGAACGATGCCCATGAATCCTTATACGAACACCGTACGCGAAAAAGGAATCCCGTCATCTACACGAAGTGAAATATGGGTGGGGTGAATCTCAAATACTTATTGGTAAAACCATGACACTCTCGTTGGAGCACTGTAGAGTTGCAACGAAGATGGTCGTTGCGGATGGATGCAACGAAGGTGATGTTGTCGAACCCTAAGCGGTCGCATACTTTACACCTGTTGCCGAACGAACGATCAAAATGCATATGGGTGCCACAAACACCAGGTAGAGACCGCTTGAACACTGGTTCCTGCGTCCGCTCCAATTCGAGGTTATCTTGACGCCTCTTGCGTGTTACCTGTGCTTTCGGGCTCTCAATTCTAAATCTGCTTGTCAACGAGCCCGCTCTCTTTTTTCTCTGCGAGCCCTTATCCCTGAAACCAGCTCCAGATTGATGCTGGTACTGGCTTGCTATTGCTGGCGGCACTCGTGTCTTATGGCTCGTGAGCTGTCATTGCGGAGTCAGGGCGGCGGGCACGCGTTGCAGCCGCGTAGCAAGCTCTCCGCAGTGCTGCCTTCACTTTCAAAGTGTTCATAGGCGTGTTCCTATAGTGGTCGTCTTTCTAATCGCCTTTCGCTCGAATATGCAGGGGAGCAGTGGAGATGGGGGGGGGGGAGGAAGGGTTCCGAAGTGTGCCACACCATCTAAAAGGGGGGCGCACTATCTAGTGGGTGACATGCCACAAATTGCACAGCTGTGCCTCTAAGTGTCGCTTCAGGAACAAGTGAACAAGGCGCGATGAAGAAATTGTCCCGAGCACGAGGAGCTTTCCCCACAAAAAGTTTTGGATTCACGTCAATCGATATGAAAGTTTTATTGTACCCTAACTTTTACTCGTCGTAATTGCGTATCCTTAAACTCAGAGGCACCGACAGCATGTGCCCATGCACTCGACGGGTGTGCTATGCTTACCTTGGCTGGTTGTTTTATGACTGATTTTGAGTGATACTGATCTCGGCGCAAGTAGCTTACGAAGTGTAGCGGCGTGTGAGGAAGACGTTAGATGATGTTGAAGGCGGCCGACGGTGCTGTGCCACTCTTGCCACTTTATTCGAGGGCTGCAGCAGGGCCGGGGTGGCTGCCAGCGTCTGACCCGTCAGGTGCGTGAACCCGTTCAAATCTGGCAAGCGCGTAGAGCTTCAAGCACGAGCAGCGCGAGAGGCGCACCGCAGTGATGGAGTGATGATGTTGTTGATGATGATAAAGGGGCGGCAGAAGGTTGAAAATGCGCATTTTATAAGCTCTTTGTTTTTATAGTAAAAAAAAAAGCCGATGTAAGCGAAAGTTATTGTCTGAATTAGCGTTGTGGTTATGCCAATCAGTGTAGTTTTTCTGGCGTACATGCAACGGCTGCCGCGCCACGGCAAGTCCAATTCTAGGCCACGTCACCGAAAAGTATTCATCAGGCTCTCCTGGTAAGTATCTTCGCACGTGTAAGCGGCAGTGGAGTGCTTTAATTTATCCACTGGACTCGATCGTTCATTCCCATTGAATAAAAACTCAGATGTTATAATTTCTATACCTTTGTCTTAATACAGTTTGTACACATCAGAAGATGTCTTCGCCAAAATAAAGAGCAGCACAAGTAGAACTCAGGAAGAACGCTCCTTTCTGTAACTTTTGAATAATATTGGACACATTTCTTGAAACACAACATGTCCAGCACCACTATAGCTTCACATATCGAACGGCAAAATCAATGAAACGAGGAAAAACGAAATGTGTTGCGGATATGGCAGTACTTGATTATGATTCGGTTCACTTACTTCAAAAGGGCTTCAAATCAGATGACCTTCTAGGTAATCGATTGGATGACGCAGGAAATGGGTGTGGGTTTTATCATAGCTTGCCGATAAACCAAGTAGGGCTCTTCCGGGACAGTATTCACATTCATCAAATGTCTCGCGTTTGAACGACTCCATTTAAACTCGTATTTACGTCACAAATTCAACAAATAATTTTGCAGAAGACAGACATGTAATACATTCTTCACACATTTCTACATTATCACATATAAAAAAATTTATATCTGAATTGGCTATATCCAGAAGCTTTTCGAGGCCCTGTTCAGGTACGATAAATTTGTGTTTAAGAGTGTACGCATCTAGCCCCATGTCTACCGGCACAGTAGTGTAGTTACAGCCACTTGAAGTCCTTGAGGTTAAATAGCAAAAGCATCGGGGCAATCAAATGTAACACTACGGCCTTAGTTTCCTGTCGAAAAAATTCAGGTGAACCTAACTAGTAACTGTAGTCAGTAAAAGAAAAAATGCATGTAACCTTACGTGACTTTTCTTTTTTTACAGATCTATAGAGCAAAGGACTTTCTCATGTATGATTATGGGAGCTCCGAGAATAAGAAACGCTACGGACAGGTACGAAAAATTTCTAGTCGTAATACGCTATTTATCTATGCATATATATCTCTCTCATATATATATATATATATATATATATATATATATATTATATATATATATTTATATGTGTGTGTGCAATCTAACAGAAAATAATGCAAGGAATGTATAGGGGAAGTTAATAAACCAATCTAAAGTAAATAAAAAGAAAGAAAAGTGGGTGAAAAAATAACTTGCCGTGAGCAGGAATGCGGCAAGTTATTTTTTCACCCACATTTTTTCTTCCTATCTGCATTAAATTGGCTCTAATAACTTCCCCTATACATTCCTTGGCATTATTTTCTGTTAGATCTCATTAATATTGTGTCAAAACATGGGAAACGAGCCCTTAGATGTACACCTCTTTCGCTTATTCATTAAGGAGGGTCTCGTACTGACAGACTTGGTGCCGCTAGGTTCTATACGAGGGACCATTGGTCAGCTGCCCGCTCCTAATAAGTTCAGTTGCTACATGACGCCCCACAGGCTCCTAAAAGGGTGTTCCACAATCGCCGCCATGGCTACAGATGGTGCTGACTGACACTTTCACGTTTAAATTCACATATAAACCCAATAAAGTGGCTGGGGGGATAGCCACCGTGATAGCTCAGTAGATAGAGCATCGAACGCGTTTTTCGAAGGTGGTAGCTTCGTTTCCTGCTCACGGCAAGTTATTTATTTATTCACCCACTTTTATTTCTTCTTATTTACGTTACACTGGTTCTAGTCACTGCCCCTATACATTCCTTGGCCATATTGTCAGTTAGATCTCATTATTATTGTGTCAAAACACGAAAGAACGAGCCCTTAGATATACACCTCTTTCCATATATACATATATATATATATATATATATATATATATATATATATATATATATAGATGTGCAAAATTCAGGGCTCGTTTTTCGGTGTTTCACACAAAAGTTATGAGATCTAACAGACAATATTTCAAGAAAAGTATGTGGGAAGTTATTAGACCGAATCATAATGTAAATATGAAGAAAAGTGGATGAAAAGATAACTTGCTTTGGGCAGGAACCGAACATGCGAACTTGGAGTAACGTGTTCGATGCTCCATAAACTGAGCAGGTGTGGCCGTATCCCCCCAGACATTTTATATGGTTTTTTTTGATACTGAAAAAGGAGGTCTGAGAGATATAAAGCAGGCTTGTAAAAATTTATGCATGCGCGTCTGTGGTGCAATGGGCCGAGCGTACAGTGCCAATGGATGTGCATCGACAGATGCGGGGTTCGAACTGCAGAATATTCGAAAGATCGAAACGTTTTTCTTTGTCGTCTGTTTTTGTGCATTTTTACCTAAATCCTTTCTATGACAGAAACAAAGTTAGTGAAATCATGGTGGGTAATTTGTTTTTATATTTTGGTTTATCGAATTCTTTTGCACTTTTTCACGTTTTTTCAAAGGAACACTACTAATTTTCTTATCTAATTTGTCTCTTTTTTAGCAAGCGTTGTACAAAAAAATACCTAATATAAGGTACAGTGTGGCCGATCCCTGTTGTGGGTATGAGCCAAGATCTCCTTGGTGACAAGACAAGACCTCAGTGTGAAACGCTATCGCGTTAAAACAATGCGACAACTTCAATAGGACGCCGACAGAGTATACCTCATATTTCACACGAGCATTCTACATGCGCTCTATTTCAGGTTAAAACTCCCGCTTACGACGTGGATCGCGTGAAAGCCAAGGTCGCACTGTTTTCTTCAGAGGGAGACACCGTCGCTGATCCCGAAGACGTATCTCTCCTTGTTGAAAGGCTTGGCTCCAACTTGCTCTTCCACCACGTGGTGGAACCCACATACTTTCGTCATCTAGACTTCTGTTGGGGCTACAGAGCGAATGATATCGTGCACAACATGATGCTTGACACTCTCGAAAAGTACTCCGGCACAAGCACTTGACCAGTGCAGCAATATCCCACAAGGGCATTCGATTACAACAACTTTTGTTCAAATAAATTTCATTTTGTGATGTTGCAAGGCAGCTTCATTTTCATATCACTGCTTTTTTTACCACTTGCCATAGAAACAGTAGTTTTTACTGAGCCGCATAAACAAAACTCCTTCCCTGTTGCTTTAATAAACATAAATAAAATTTCCGCAGGTGCCACGTACCTGGGGAATTGATGTTATGAGAAGCAGGCGAAGGGGAGGTGTTGTAATTGTATTGCGATAGTAATTATATGGACACTCTCGGCTGGATTTCACCGCTGGCGTCGGCGTCGATGTCATGCGCCGTATGTATGTATGTATGTATATATATATGAATATATATTTATATATTCATATCTTTGTGTGTGTGTGTGGTGGGTGTATGTGTGAAAACGCAAGAAAGAAAAAAGTTTCGAAAAAGCCTCCGGCGAGCAGAATCGAACGTGGAACCTCCCAGTCGTGAATGTGAGGCGTTAATCACAAAGCGACGAAAAAGCACATCCTGCAACGTTGAAACGGCAAGCTATTTATATTGACCACTTTCCGCTGGTGATGGGTAACTCTGAGGGGAACTATGGCGTTTTCAACATTATTAGCAAGATGGCGCCTAGAGGAGGGGAGTGAGTGATCGTAAACCCCTGAACGCTCACTCGCTCGCCATTATCTCGCGGTTGGAAGCATCTTATGTCTTGGCTGTCCTGAAGCTTTCACCAGAACGATTCTGTTGTATATACCGAGCGCACAATGAGTCACCGCGATCGTGCACAGTTTCCAGTTTCTTAAAGAGCGCGCTTTTCAGACACAGCGAAGTAACAACGGAGACGCTTCTTTGTTTTCATCTGTACCTGTGAGTACATTTGGTGCGTTATTTGTGAGTGATAAACGTGGGACACGTTTAGATGTGCTTACAGTTCTGCACGTGACCTTCCGAATTTTTGCTGTTGCGTTCGTTGCTCCATCTTTGTGCAAAGCTCTGACTTTTTTTATTGCGCAAAATGTTCCAAGTACAAATGTTGTACGCAGAGACATATGCTAAACGGCCGCATGATTAGTGTTTTGTAACTATGCCAACAATAACATGGTATTTGCAACACCAGAAGCGGTAAATTTAAATAAAGCGTTTGTGCCAACTAGGATGGCGGCCCTACACACTGCCAGACAACTTAGGTACACTGTATGCCGCTTCACAACAATTGTCGTTAACATGACGTAAGGCGCTGTGATGAGAGTACATATGTATTGTTCATAAGATCACATGCCAGTTCTGCAACTACAATTTATGTTTCACGAACAATACAGTCTACTTGAAAAGCAGTTCCGAGACATGGAATGGCTCTGGGGTATATTACTTGATTGCCACGCAAAATGCTTGGATTCTATTACTATGATATTTATTCGATGCGTTCGTTGTGGGAACGGTCCTTAGGACAGCTTTTAGGGGCGAAGCTTTTGAGGGCTAACCAAGCACGTGCTCATCACGCCCCATAAAACCCAAATCGAAACTGAGCACCTGCATAACAAAAACAAAAAAAATGTATGAACAGCCGACTTTATGTACAATTAGCTATAGAGCAGTACAATACATCATCACCCGCGTCATTTGTCAGTCCGTCCATCTATGCATCCATCCCCACGTTCATTAATTCGCCCATTCATCTCTTCGTCCACCCATCTGTGAGTCCGCCCATCAGTGCGTCCTTTCAGCCATCTGTGCGTCCTACCATGCGTGTATACGTAAACCTGTTCATCCGTCCGTTCATTGTCCGTCCTTCGTACTGACTACTGCAACATAGACAATAGGAACCTTCAATGTCTACGTTCTTCCCTACTTTGTCAGTGCATGAAGCCTGTGCAACGTTGCCATTACGAGCGAGTAAATCGCTTTGGCCCTTTGAAAGAGATGCTTGCCCTGGGTGACTGTCTGCACACTTTCGCACTAAAGCACACTTTTGCTGAGTTTTCTGTGTGTCTTTAGCTTGTGTTCCACCTGCTACTCAATGATGTAGCCTAGCGAAATTAGTTATTTAGTTCTGTCTCTTCTGCATACCACGAAACAAGAAAAGTCGTGGAGAGCCTACATATGCGTTCGACGATGTCAGTACAACCGTTCACACTGACACGCTTGTGCATCTTTATTTTATCCTTCTACTTACTATGAAATGTGGGATAGTCAATAGGTATAGTCAGCAAAGCTTATTGGCTGACAGTACTTTGCGGTACATTGCGTTTGCTACGAATACGAACATGTGCACAAGTACAAAAATATTGTAAGCGTTCAGGTGAAAACTTTTATTGATGGATTACGTGAATGACAGCGTTAGAACAAAGATCTGGTTGTTTTGTAGGACAACCAGCTTTTTTAACGAAAAAATTTGGCAGATTCTACATGCCTAAGAATCGACATTGTGCGAAGCATGCGGCGAGAAGGTGACCGTGTTGCACTTTTTTCATTCAGAGACACATCATGAAATGACGCTAAATATATGCGCAGATGTTGCACGCGCAGACATATGTTGAAGAGCTGCAGATGTTTTATATATGACCAGTTGTTGGCACTAGCGCGACGATGTAAACTGGAACATGTGTATTAGAAACACAAGGCGCTGATATGGAGCGCTGATGCTTGCGAGGATAATGGCCCTGGACACTGCTACTAGCCACAGTTTACATTACCCGACGTGACGGCTGTACCAAAAGGGCACATGTGTACTACTTATAAAACTGGGTAGGCAGCACTGCAACCACTATTGACGTTTCACAGAGATTAGCATCTTTTTGAAAAGTATTTCCGCGACCAGGCGTAGCTCTGTGGTAAAATGCTTGAGTTCAAATCCAGCTGAAACCCTGACATTTATTTTTGCATTCTTAGGGTCGACGCTACGGATGTCGGATATTTCTTAACGTTCACGCGCATACATTGCCCATGTCTGTTCTTGTCGTTCCTGGGTAGATACTAAGCGTCAATCACCTGTAGAACATACCCGTCCTTAAATATGTGCCACTGTCTGGCGAGAAGTGTTTGACGACGTACGCGACAAGATTGTGACATTATTCATGTCTTGACCAGCACGTCATGTTCGTCAAACAATTTTACCGTCCTATGCTAATTTTGGTTGACGCCATGTTAAGGGGGACGACCAAGAGAGCACCCAAATGTAAGCGCTGGATAGATAGATAGATAGATAGATAGATAGATAGATAGATAGATAGATAGATAGATAGATAGATAGATAGATAGATAGATAGATAGATAGATAGATAGATAGATACGCTCAAAGTCGCCGAAGTTCGCTCAGAACTGGTTCGCATTGAAATTGACCACTGCCTTTCATTAGTCAACAAAACTGGCACACAAACGCTAACGTTTGTATAAAACGTGAGATTTCCGTTAATATATACAGCATGAAATGTAAGGCATGCCTTCTTGATTACTTTGAATGTCTGTGCTCTTCAGAGCGTTGATAAATCTAAGCTCACGTTTGCGCACGGCAACTCCGTTTTTAGCTCAGTGTAAGTACCGAGGTGTCACAGTTTGTGATAGTTCTATTTCTATGTCGTGGTACCACGGCCAGATGAACACAACCAAAGCTCCTCGCACAATTGATCAACTACACGGGTGTAGTTGTACGCCCAACAAAAGTGCGCGAGAACGTGACCTAGAGCCTTGGTGTTTTGTTTCTTTTTTCTAACCGAGTCACTAAAATGCTGCGTTCACACCTCATTGATTACTTCTCATGTTTCGAAGGATGCCAGGAGCATTTTACATGTGCTTGAAACAGAAAGGGGCACCAACTGTGAAAATAGCCTGATGACGAGAGGGTACCACGACAATAAACAGCACTCTGGAAAGTTGCAGTGGCTGATCTTATTACAATGCATTCGCAGGTCAGCAAGAACGTTTTGGTACGTAATTTCACGCATACGTCAAAGTAGTTATGTTTGCACTCAGATAACCGAACAAACCACTTTTTGAGAACGTGAAACGACGTACCTAGGGGACGCCCCTTTCCAAGCGCATGCGCACGCAGGAGCGTAGCACGGGAGAGATAAACACGTGAGAAGGTGACGTCACCTTTATTGTCGAGGCGCCGGGCCCCCTGCGTCGCTCAGTCAGCTGAGCTTGTTTACTTCGCGGTTCTGCGTTGTTTCTGCTGCCTAGCGAAGCTATCGTTCTGCTAGTTCACAGGAATTTCTTGCCACAGTACCGTTCTCTTCTGATAATAGATTTTTTTATGTGACATTCACTAATTCTAGTTGTGCTCGTGCAATGTTGAAGTGTACTCGCGATGCCTAGTTACTGCACGGCACATGGCTGCCGTCTTTCACAACCTTAGTTGCAATCAGAAAATGGCTGCGAAGTGGGCCGCTGCAGTTTAAAGGAAATACTTCAAACCTGTAGGATCAAGCGTGCCCTGCTCAAGCACTTTCGTGAGAGCCACTGCTCACAAAGCCCGGTGCTCATGCAGTCGCTGGGATTGGCGATCAAGTGTGTGCGTCTGAACAGCGACGCGGTTCCTTATACATTGCCGCACCTGATGGGGCCCTCACCGCCAAAACGACTTGCCTTCGTGAAAAGAAGGAAAGCTGAGGTAAGGCTGCAAGACTACAGATGTGCCTTAGCTGCACGTAGTTATGGTGAGTGCGCGCTTACCACAGCAGTGCACTCAGCTCATTGTGCTGCCTATATCTATGAAACGCGTGGTTGGCGAGCCGTCACGAATACACCTATCATCGTAGGTTTGTTTGATTTGAGTGTAGTACGCCGCCGTTTCCTTATTGCATCGACATCTCGCAATCGCGCCTTCAAAAATATTTATCAGAGCGATTCTAGTGATACTTTTAGATCAAAACTCAAAATTATCGATGCTATACTTTATGACAACCATGCATACGATGAACCAGATGACATTTAATCGCTACCGTAGCATTATACTAGTGCCGAATGCGACCAAATACACCAAAACTGTAGTCCAAAGTGTCCGCG